GCGTGTGTAATGGGGGCAGCTGTGGGGCAGGGCCGGGCCGGGCTGGGCCCCGCAGGGCAGCCTGCGTGGCGCTGCTGGCTCCCTGCAGCGCACTGGCCCTGGGCAAGCCCTGAGCTCACATTCCTGCGCAAGGCCCACGTGTGCTGGGCCTGGGGGAGGCCAAAGGCAGCCTTATTCCTAGATAAATTCACCCTTAGAGCAGCTGCGGATCCTCCCGAGGCCTCTTTCCGTCTCTTTTCTCTCTCCTCGCCCCGGGAAGGAGGGAGCAGTGACTGGCAGGGAGCTGCTGGCGCTGCGAGGCCACAGGGGACGGCTTCCATGGGAAGCACGACCTTCCTGGCACTTCCTTCGGACACGGGAGCAGGAGCTGCGCGGCCGAGCCAGGGGCTACCAAAGGCTTCTTGCCTAATAGTAGCTGGCACAGTCGCTGCAGGAGCCCTTCCGTTCCATCGTGTTCTCGGAAATCACGTTTGTTCAGGCCGCCTGAAGGCCTCTTTGGGAAAACAGTGCATTTTCACGGCGTGCTTAGAGCTTGGGCTTGGAAAGGCAAAGGCAGGAGGGATGCCCAGCCCGGGAGCAGGGAGGTCGCCTGGGGAGGCGCAGGCCGGTATTTGCCCCAAGGAAGGGCGGATAAGTGGCCGTGTAGCAGCAGGGAGAGCTCATGCAGAGAGGAGCTTACCGAGATCCAAACCAAGCCCTCCGGACTTGGCTTGGGAATACAACATCTGAAGAGATAAGGGATTGAGCGCCCTAGGGAAATGGCGCAGGAAGCAAGAGAAACAGCATGTCGGGTTTTTTCATGTCTTGAAGTTATAAGTTCAGTGCATGCATATGTAACCTTCCAGCTCAGAAAGCAAATTTGCTTTATTTTTGGTTCAAGTGAAACAGGAAATAAAATGTCCAAGCTGGTTTAATCACAGATTTCTCCAGGTCAGCGACATTTGGCTCCCCTCCTGCGGCTCGGGCACAGCCGATTCTTTGTTCCCGGAGCTCGGCAGATGCTGCCGGAGGGGCGTCCTGGGGGACTTGGTGGCCACGCACAGACGCTGCTTCCCCGTTCACCAGGCAGCTGCACTGCCCAGCCCACACAAAAGGCACAAACAAATTCTAGGTGGCCTTAAAGCACCACGTTCCCTTTCACAAATTGCTGGGTCTCAACTCTTCTCACCTTGAAGCTCCTGACCCAAGAGAACCGCTAAACTAATAGTGCGAAAGGACACTCCACCTAAACGTGCACATTGCTGTTGTGACAAACAGAGGGCCTTTTCATGAGGGGCCTTGCTCGCTGCACCAGCTGTTGCAGCAGGACTTCCAGAGGAATAAGATACTTGAACAGCAGCTTCGTTGTCAGTACTATTGCCATGTGGCAAGGAGGAGTATCAACAGAAAGCCTGAGTGTTGATGAAAACGAGAGCACGTGATGGCGGAGGCGGGTGCCTCGAGCTGTGGTATGTGCTGTGCGGGCGTCCGCACAACCGAGAGCAGCCTGATGGCCCAGCTGGACACCATCCAGCACGGGAATGCCCCTCGTGAGGCCTGGTGCCCGTTCCCGTGAGGAGCTA